TCAAATGAAATACAAATATGACAGAATTCTGTAAGCCACAGTGCACTCCAAGGAATTGAGGTACGATGCTGACAAGATAACAGGGGGTGCCCTGCCTGTTCACAGGGGTTGAACTCTGTCTTCTGGACCTGAGCCCTCAATGTGAACCCATCTCAGATGGATGCTCCTTACTTTCCTGGCCCACATGTGAGAAATGGGAACAGCGTCAGACTTTGGTCTCTTGACCCTAACTGCCCACCCAGGTCCCTACCAGCACCAACCTTGGATGGTGAGGGCGGCTGAGTCCTGCACACCAGGGCAGCTGAAGCCCACTAGGGCCCCACTGTCCTCGTGCTTGACTGCTTGCAAGATCAGTCTGTGCTGTAGGCCCTTCTGCTCCACACGGTACCGCAGGGCCCCAGGGGCCACCTGGCCCTCTGGCTCATTACTCTTGAGCTCTTCCCCATTAAGGAACCAGGTGCCCTGGATGATGGTGGAGAGATCGAGGGAGAAGACGGCATCTTCCCCGTCGTATACCTGCACATCCTCCAGACCTGCCACCAGGCGAGCTGTGGGCACTGAGGCAGGGACAGAGTGTAGCCATCAGAATGAGAAGGGGCGGCAGAGGGCAGAGGCAGGCGGGTGGAAGGTGTATGAGAGGACAGGCACTGAGGGCCCAGGAAGGGAGATGGGGTGATGGGGGACAGGACTTAGGGTGTGGCCACCAATGGGCAGGGTCCAGCAGGACCGACTCACCGAGGTGAGCAGAACCGTGGAACACAACGTGGGGACTGCGGCCGTGTTCGCTGACCGTGCAGACGCGGAAGCGGTAGTCACCCTCACAGGGCACACAGTCCCCCGGCACCTCCACGGCTCCGGCCTTCTCCATGCTGAAGCACTGGATCCAGTCTTCGGAGCCCACCTCCTGCCGCTCCAGCCGGTAGATGAAAGGGGTCTCGGGAGCTGGCTCGGGAGGCTTCCAAGTCAAAAGCACCGTGTTCTTGTGGCCCTTGAACATCTCTACCAACACGGGGGGTCCCGGGGGACTGTGCTTGACGCCTGAGACCAAGGCAGGGAATATGTTTCCAGCCTTGCTCAGGCCTCCATAGCCCTTCCACCTCAAATCCACTTCACCAACTCGGCTCTGGCATCTGGTCACCCTCCCGCCCAGCCCTCCTGCCCGAAGGCCTTCCTGCCCTCACATTTGACTCTAAGCAGGGTGGTGGTACGGGAGTTGCCCAGGCTAAAGGTGACCTCTCCAGCATCTTCTCGGGTGACTCCTGGAAGGACCAGGGCATGCATGTGGCCGGAGCTGCTCTGGCAGGTGGCTGGCAGCTCCTCGCCATCGCGGCTCCAGTGCCCCTCGACGCCAGCCTCTTGTGTCTCCACCAGCAGCACTGCGTTCTCTCCCTCCAGGACATCGAGCTTGCGCGGCAGCCGCTTCAGGATGGGCCCTGAGAGGTGGACAGGAACCCCTCAGCCCGGACTCTGCGCACCTGCCTCAGCCTCAGCCTCGGCCTCCTCCCCACTGGCCAGCCGACCTTTGACCGTCACGTTGGCCACGGTGCGCACCCGGCTCCGCATCTCGCACAGGTAGACGCCGTCATCGTCGGCCTTCAGCCTGTGGATGATGAGGCGCCGGACGGCGCCCTCTTCAATCTGCTCGTACTTGTGGCAGGGCAGCAGCCGTTGGTCCTCGCGGAACCAGGCCGTGGGGATGCGGGAGTTGGGTACTTTACACTCCAGCACAGCAATCCCATGCTCCCTGCCCTCCACATCCTGCAGGGGCCTCGTGAACCGGAGGCGGGGCTCTGCAGAGAGGGGAGAGACAAGAGAAGGCTCTGGAGAGGAGCCAGACTGGGAGGACTCCTAAACACACCTTAGCTTAGGCTGGTGCTCTCTGCCTAGGGCCAGCAGAAAGGGAAGTCAAAAAGCCTAAATTCTCATCTAGCCCTGCATTTACTGACTACATCACCTTGAACAAGTCCATTTGAGTATTGCTGGGCCTCAGTTTCCTTACTTGTAAAATGGGGAAAGGGAGGAAAGAGGATGGACCAGAACAGTGATTTCCAAACTATACCTTGGGGTCCCTCAGAGGCACCCCATATAATCTACAAGGGTCTGAGTTGAATTGAATGTATTTTAGCCCTTTTCAAAACTGTATTTCAAATAAAAAAGAGAGAAAACAATGTTGGAAACAACCAGAGGGTTAACTTGGGTTGCTGGAATGCAAGCTTTTTGTGTAGCTCTGCTGAGCTCCTCTCGCCTGCCTGCTGGGCTTTTCTTCCCAATGGGGCTCCAGGTCAGCGGTGGCCTGGACAGGTTGTGCACATCGAACTGTACCAGTGAGGTCGGCTCTGGAGCCCAGGTGCTACATGCTTGATTTTGTGCCAGGCAGGACTCAGGAGAAATTGCCAACTCTTTTTTTCTCCGAGGGAAAAGTTGGGTAATAATTAGTGAAGGTGTAATCCCTCGGGCTGTGATGAAACCCTATTATGGAGTTTTAACTTCTAGTGTGAGTTTGGGATTTTTTTTTCCTTTGAATTTTCTGTTTATGAGTAATATATGCATTTATTAGATATTGCTGGTGATTAAACTTTGAAATATAGATTTTCTCTCCTTCGCCTTCCTCTTCTTTCAAATCTAGGGAGTAGCTTAATAAAACAATAGTCAAAAATTGCAGGACATTTGTCCTCCTCAAGTCTACCTTTCCAGCGAACCAGTTGTACCTCAAGCTAATGTTTGCAGCGGGGCCTTCACCACAGGGTTCAAAGACTAGACCTGCTATGAATGCAGCCTCCACTACAAATGTGTGTATTCAATAAAACAGGTCCCTGTTCTCACTGATTAGCTTTGTAAGTATGTTATCAGTTTAGACTCAGCAATTTACATGCACAAAATCTGTCTCATATATTGGGGCTCCAGATGTGTATGCAGTTGAGGAAGTTGGGTTAAAATATCAATAAAGTTGAAAACCACTGGCGAAGAGTTCTAGGGCCCTCAAGAGTTCTAGGGCCACTGTTTGGTGGTTTTCCACCATCTCCCTCAAAATCACTTGGGGAGTTTGCTAAGAAGTTCCCAGTACCTTGGAGGCCTACTATATCCGAATCCCTGGGGGGGTGGGAGGCAGCAGGAAATGGCATTTTAATATTCCTGCACACCCTCCCCACCGCCAGTCCTCTGGGCAGCGCTGGGCGCCTGGGCCGCTGGGGTACCTTTGACATGCAGCTGCACTGCGCTCAGCGTCTGTCCCGCCGAGTTGCGCGCTGCGCACACGTAGAGCCCGCGGTCCTTGGCCTGGCAGTAGAGCACCTTGAGCACAAAGCCGCCGTCGCGGTCTCGGTACATGAGGCGGCGGCGGTCGGAGAGCAGCGGGCGGCCCTCCCAGTGCCATTCGATCTCCGGCTCGGGCTTGCCCATCACGTAGCAGCGGAACTTGGCGTGCTTGCCCTCGTTCACCCAGAAGGTCTTGGGCGCGCACTTGAGCGGCTCTACCACGGGCGCCGGGGCCTCCTCGGGGTCCTCAGGCGGGCTCTCGGGGGGCTGGTGCACCTGGAGCAGCGCGCCGGCCTGCGCGTGGCCGTGCGCGTTGCGGGCGTGGCACACGTAGACGCCCGAGTCGGGCAGCCGCGCCGCCAGGATGCGCAGCGCCAGGCTCACGCCTGGGCCACCCTCGGCGCGGCCTGGCTCGAGTGTGAAGTGGCTGCTGTCCCACACTTCGTCCAGGGCCATCCCGTCCTTCTCCCAGTACAGCGTGGGCTCGGGGAGGCCCCCCACCTGGCACGTCAGCACCACCTCCGCCCCCCGCTGCACCCACTGGGACCGCGGCCCGGTCAGGAACACTGGGGCGCCCTCCCCGGCCCCCGGCGGCGGCGGCAGCGGGCGCTCGGCGGGCTGGGGCTCTGGCTCAGGGGGCGGCGGCTCCAGCACGGTGACGGCGGCCGCCGCGTAGGCCTCGCCCGCCGCGTTGCGGGCGCGGCAGACGTAGACCCCCGCATCGGTGGGCAGCGCGCCGCTCAGCAGCAGGCCGTGCTCGGCGCCGTCCGCGGGGAAGCTCAGGCGCTCCGAGGCCGCCAGCTGCTGCCCGCCCTTCTCCCACACGACAGTGGGCGGCGGCTCCCCCAAGACCACGCACTTGAGCTCGGCCTCGGCGCCACTTACCACCCGCACAGGCCGCGGGAAGCGCAGGAAGCACGGGGGGCTCCCCTGATCCCCCGAGCCCGCCTTCATCGCGGCGGCCGCGCACGGCCCGCAGCGGCGCGGGGGAAGGGCGGACGGCGGGCGAGCCTAGGCCGAGAGCGGCGGCGAGAGCCCTGGAGGCGGGGCGCGTCGGGGACGGGGCGCGGGGACCCGCGGAGCTCTCCCCTGCCGCCCGCTCCCGCTCGCCTTCTTACCCTCGGCCCGAACCGCAGCTCTGCGGTGGCGGCGGCGGTTTCCGGGCCGGAGCCTAGAGCTCAGGGGGCAGTCCTTCCTGTCTGCCTTTGCAGTGAGGGGCCCCGCAGCCTCCTCCGCCCGCCCGTGGCCTGGCTTCCTGCTCCTGGGAGCCTCTCTTCCCAGCCCCCTCCCACAGCCTGGGCCTCTTTCCCCTCCTCCCTCCCACCTCCAGCCGCCAGGTCCCCTACCGCCCGCCAGGCTTGGGCCTGAGTGGCAGAGGCGCCTGCAGCTGCCAATCCCAAAAATATTCTCTGATGACACAGCTGGAGGACAAGAGCCCAGACTGGCTCCCCGGGCTAAGTATAGAGCAGGCAGGACCACCTGCCCCCCGTCCTAGCCCCAGTTCTATCCCCAGCCCAGCCCTTCCCCTCATGGCTGCCCCAGCAGCTGCTTGATTGAAAGGGGCCCCAGAAGGTCTGAGGGGCTGGTGCACTGTGTCTCCCTGACAAATGACACTTTCAGGGGCTGGCCGACCCAGCTCCCAGGCTCCTGTCCCACCTAAAGTCACCTCTGTGTGGGGTACTGGGATGTGAGACTCACACACTGTGTGCGTGTGCACGTGTGTGTAGGGGGAGGGGGTCGTATGTTTGTATGTGTAGGTCAGGTCATTTGGGGTGAAAACCCTCCTCAACCCCCTCCCCCGCATTCCTGGCGGGAGTGGGAGATAAGGCTCAGGGCCACAGACATCTGCGTCAGAGATAGGAGGTCTCAATGCCATGGGCAGGGGCAAGCCAGACTGTGGGGCGTGGGAAGGCCTGGGGAAGACGGGTGAGAAGGGTAGAAGAGGGCGGGTGTGGGATGGGGAGGGAAGAGTGGGGAGGTCCTGGGCAGACCCTCACCGAAGGGGCACAGGGCAGGGTGTGGCTTCCCCGCTGGCAGGGCCAGGTGAGCTATGGTGCCCCAGCTGCCCCTGTTGCTGCTCTTGCTGCTGGCCCCACAGGGCAGGCCCGGCTGCCACGAGCCAGAGCTGGACCGGGAGCTAGTCCTGGCCAAGGTGAGGGCCCTGTTCCTGGATGCCTTGGGGCCCCCGGCAGTGACCGGGGAAGGTGGGGATCCTGGAGTCAGGCGTCTACCCCGAAGACATGCCCTAGGGGGCTTCATTCGAAGGGGCTCTGAGCCTAAGGAGGAGGATGTTTCCCAGGCCATCCTTTTCCCAGCCACAGGTAATGAGGGTGGGGAACCGGCAGGGTGACTTTGAGAAGCAGCATGGTACAGCGTGGGCTCGGGAGCCAGGTACACTGGGTTTGAATCCCGGCCCTGCCACTCAGTAGCTTTGCAGCAAGAGACCAGTTACTAAACCTCCCTGAGCCTCTGTCTCCTCATCTGTAACATCTGCCTCTCAGGATTAAGTGAGGCGGCGAACCTAGAGTTCGTGGCCCATAGGAGGCATTTGGGAGGTATGCGTCTGGGAGACCAAGGGTCTCTAGAGACAGGTGTCTGTGATTCGGCCCCTTCCTGCCATCTTTCCTCTTGTCTTTGCCTCTGCTCCCTACCCCAAACCCTGTTTCTTTAGCCCCAAGTAGCTGAGACTTGAGAAGATAACAGAAGTGCAGGAAAAAGATGAGCTGGGAAACTCTCCCAGGAAACCAACCTACCTTCTCTGGAGTTCCTTATGTATGTTCCCTCGTTCCACTCTTAGAACAAATAAAGCTGTCTTCTGGGTGGTCTTGCTTGTCATCTGGCCCACCTTTCTCCTAGAGAGGACCCCTGCCTCCCTCGTTTCGGCCTCCGTGCAGCACAGTGAGTAGAAAGTATGGCTTTGGGATCAGGCAGAAACCTAGCCTGGCCGCTTACTTGCTGAATGTCACTTCACCTCTCTAAGCCTCAGTTTCGTTATCTGGAAAATGGATCACTTGTGACTTTACAATGAGAGAAGCCAAGTAATGGTATAGCCCCCATTGCCAGTGGGGGCTATTGACTCATGCTGGTCCATGATTATTTAGTATAGTCTATTCGTATGTCAGGGTAAGGATGCCAGCCACACTGCTCTCTATTCTGAGTTGCATCCCTCTTCCTTCTCTTCCTCCTCCTCCTCCTCCTTTTCCTTCTCCCTTTTCCCCTCCTCTTTACTTTTTAATTTGGTGTTAACCTGTCTTTTTAAAATGGAATTATTTTAAATAATTTATTATACAATGTTCCTGACATGCTAAAAGATATAAAGAATAATATAATAAACACCGATGTACACACCATCCAAGATACCCTTTCACATTATTTGATGAACGAACATTTAAGTCTAACAGTTCTCGGTGTTGTTGAAGGTAGAGAGTGACAGGGCCTCTTACACATTGCTAATGGGAATATTAATTGGTAAAACCACTTCAGAGAGAATTGGCAATGTCTTATATTTTTTAAAGCCCTTAAAAGATGAAATTAAAAAATGTGGAGCTTGTGGAAGTTCCCCCCAAGACTGGGGAGCGTCCCTGTCTGGGAGGGCACTCAGCAGAGTGCTTGGCCAATCACCAGCACTTTCGAATGGCAGCCACATCCCTCCTGGTGCGGAGGGTCCCAGGTCCTGCTAGTAGGGCTGCCCTCTTCCTTCCCTTCTGTCTCCTGCAGGTGCCAGCTGTGAGGACGAGCCAGGTGCTGGAAAGCTTGCCCGGGAAGATGAGGAGGGACTCTTCACATATGTGTTCCGGCCATCCCAGCACACACGCAGCCGCCAGGTGACTTCGGCCCAGCTGTGGTTCCACACAGGGCTGGATAGACAGAGCACAGCTGCAGCCTCCAATAGCTCTGGGCCTCTGTTAGGCCTTCTGGCCCTGTCATCTGGGGGGCCCATAGCTGTGCCCACGTCCTTGGGCCAGGCCCCCGCTCGCTGGGCCGTGCTGCACTTGGCTGCCTCTGCCCTCCCTCTGCTCACCCACCCTATGCTGGTGCTACTGCTGCGCTGTCCTCTCTGTTCCTGCTCAGCTCGGCCTGAGGCCACGCCCTTCCTGGTGGCCCATACGAAGGCCAGACCACCCAGCGGAGGGGAGAGAGCCCGGCGCTCAACTCCCCCGATGCCCTTGCCTTGGTCTCCTGCCGCTCTGCGCCTGCTGCAGAGGCCTCCGGAGGAACTGGCTGCCCACGCCAACTGCCACAGAGCGGCACTCAACATTTCCTTCCAGGAGTTGGGCTGGGATCGGTGGATCGTGCACCCTCCCAGTTTCATCTTCCACTACTGTCACGGTGGCTGTGGGCTGCCCACCCCACCAGACTTGCCCCTGCCCGTCTCTGGGGCTCCCCCTACCCCTGTCCAGCCCCTTTCCTTGGTGCCAGGGGCCCAGCCCTGCTGTGCTGCTCTCCCAGGGACCATGAGGCCCCTCCGCGTCCGCACCACCTCAGATGGAGGTTACTCTTTCAAGTATGAGACAGTGCCCAACCTTCTCACGCAGCACTGTGCTTGTATCTAGGGGGTCCTACTTCCTTATCCCATGGCTGGTGACTGAGCCTGCACCATCATCAGCTGGGAGGAAGAGCAGAGCTTGGAAAATAGATGGTTCCCACTCCCCCTCCTTCCACTTTTCTGCCTAAGGGCTCCCCTCCCCGTCTCACCCCTGTCCCATGGGTAACATGTGACAATAAAGAACACAGTGCATATGACTTGGCATGCATTCTTGGACTTCTCTGATACGGTCTTGGGGAGGTCTGGGCCCTGGGAGCATGGCATTGTGGGATCTCAGGTCACTCAGCTACATTTGACCTTGGATATCTGGGGTCAAAAGCTGTAATTGGATGTGTGTCTGTCAGGACTCTGCAACACTGGGAAATGACACAGATGTGCTCCAAGCTCCCCAGACAGCCACTCTGGAGACAGAACCGGCCCTCCTGCGGGCGGAACCTGACATGTCGCTCAGGCTGCCTGCCCTGCACACCTAAAGGAGACTGTGCACTCACAGTGTCTACATCCAAGGCAGCCGGAAGCCCTCTCCCCTGCCATTCTCTGCTCTAGCTGGTGGACATTAGCCCAAGGTTGAATAATTTGTACCCTGGCTAGAGATTTTGGCTTTTGGAGTTCCACTGAGAGAATCGTTTGGAGCTGGTCAGATCTTGAGATCTCTTGGGAAGTAAGGGAAAGATGTATGACTTGGTAGGATCAGAAAGAAGTCGATGAGGACAGAGAGCTGGTGCTGTGTTAAGGTCAGATCACCAGGATGAAGACATGACAATTTCAATTTGCCAAGGGTCCTGGGGCTTCTTTGAATCTGTCACTGTCTCTTCATGCAAACTCTGTGAGGCCTCACTGTACTGGGATTCCGGTTTCTGAAATCCCTTGATTCCCCCTGTATATCTTTACATAACCCCTTAACTCAGTGCTTAAGGTTGTCGGGACAGTGGACAGAGCCTACTGCCAGAAAGAAATGCGCTCATTTGTGAGTCTGTATGTGCAGGGCATGGTTGAAAATAGTCCTTTCTTTTTTCATTGCGTTTCCTGTCAGTCCATTCTGCCTTCAGAATTGGGCATTGGGAAGTCCCCTTCTCTGGCCCTCCTTCCAGGTTTTTTCACTCTCCTCATTATCCCCCGGGTCTCCTCATCCTTCTGTCCCACCCCAGGCTCCCGGCTTTCTGCAGATTTCTTCCAGCTAGTCTCCAACGGTGGGGGGGAGGGGGCTGGAATGTTCAAGTCCATCAAACCAAACTTGAGAGCACTTTCTGATATTGACTGCACAACTCCACTGTGTATTTATCCTCACAGAGTCTCTGACTTGTCAAAGACACCCTTCTACCAGCCCAGCCCGATGGGTGGGTGCGTACATGCCTGCCCCAGCATCCTGTCACACTTACGCTAAGGCCCTTCACCCCAACTTGAGCTAACCTGAATGAGCCACTGTTCCCTGCAGCATAGCAGCCCTTTGGAGCCCACGTACAGGCTCCTGCACAAGCCCCAGACTGTTGACACTGAGTCCCCTAGGAGGCTCCCGCTGCTCTGGAGAGGAAACCTGTCTGTTCACAGTCTTTGCCTCCACCTTCTTCTACATCAGACATTGGAGCCACTCTGCGCTCAGGGGTCGGCAGGTCCCTACTCAGGGTGTAGACTGGGGAGAGGGCTGCTTGGGCTTGGCCGGTGGTGTCTGTATTCTACCTGTCCCTGTCTGGCTTCCCTGTCCAAATAGTGAGGCCTTTCCCAGGGATCTTCAATTGTCCTAGTAGGCTTAACTCCTCATTCTTCCTGTTGGGGCTCCCTAAGGACCCTGTGTTAGCTAGATGCTCCCTGTCTCTGGGATGTGGTTGAGCTCTGAGTGCTGGGGACAGTCTACTGAGAGGCACAGGATTCTCCATGAGGCCAGTTAGCAGATTGGTGTTGCAAGTAAAAAGTTTTCACATGTCTGAGACAAAATGAGAAAAGTGAATATGAATCTTTCACAAAGCCAAACATCCATTTTTAAAGGACTGTCCTTTATTCTGAAGCTATTATCCTTTCTGCTTGTGTATATGTGTGTGTTTGTGAGAAAGCGTTATTTCTTTCATGATGTTATGAAGATGATAGAAAGCAATGAGTTTTTGTTTGTTTTTAAGGTTTTACTTAACAAAATTAAAACCTGGCAATTCTAGTTTGAACCCTAAGATTTTTCTTTGGAATTTTGCTGCTCTGTGAAATCTGAGAAATCCCAAAGTCTAAGAGTCACTGGGCTGGGCCTCCCTTTCCAGGGTCTCCAAGACCTCAGATTCTGCTCATGTAGCCAGTCAGGAAGAATATCCACCCCTCCCTAAGAGGGGCCCGCCAGTGGCCACAGACATCTTTTTGTCCTTGATCCTCATCATCAGACCAACCCAATAGCAAGGGACTTCAGAGGTGCTCCCTGTTCCCTGTGCTAACCATCGGGGACATTCTGTAAATGCTCTTAATTTGGAGTCAGTTGAAACAGAAAACTGAACTCAAACTGGCTTAGACCAAAACAACTTTTTAAAAATCCACTAACACTGGCTCATTGGCTCATGACAAATCCACGGGCACAGCTGGATTAGGTGTGGTTCAGTTTTAGGCTCAAAAGATGTCACTAGGACCCATCCATAGGCTCTACTCCCCACATCCATGGTGGCCCTGGGCAGCTCAGGCTCCCATTGCCACACAGCTTGGTCCAGCAGGAGGGAGTTCATTTACAAAATCCCAGGACAAGTCTTTTTTTTTTTTTTTTTTTGAGACAGAGTCTCACTTGTTGCCCAGGCTAGAGTGAGTGCCATGGCATCAGCCTAGCTCACAGCAACCTCAAACTCCTGGGCTCAAGCAATCCTCCTGCCTCAGCCTCCCGAGTAGCTGGGACTACAGGCATGCGCCACCATGCCTGGCTAATTTTTTCTATATATATTAGTTGGCCAATTAATTTCTATTTATAGTAGAGACGAGGTCTCGCTCTTGCTCAGGGTGGTTTTGAACTCCTGACCTCGAGCAATCCGCCCGTCTCACCCTCCCAGAGAGCTAGGATTACAGGCGTGAGCCACCGTGCCCGGCCTGCAGGACAAGTCTTGATGGCCTGATTGGACTGATTAAGGTCACATGCTCCTCCAGGAAAGGTGGCCTGAGTTAACGCCTTAGCCCAGGTCCTATGTCCTACCCCTAGAGCCTGGAGCGAACGCCTAAATCACAAGGGCTAAAGGTGTAAAAGGGTGGTATCCCCAAAGCAGGGAGAGTTAACACAAAGAGGCGGGGTAGATGCTGAGAAGCAAGCACAGTTGGTTCTTCCTCCTAATTATCTCTCAAATCAAGCCCTTCTCTTTCCCTACATAGATGCTATTTTGCAGTTCTTGATTGGGCAATTCAGCAGCCTTCTTAACCAGTCACTCTCTGGCCTTCCATCCATTCTCCACATGGCTGCCAAGGGATCCTTCCGATGTGATCATGTTACTTAGGGTGGGTTAAAAAATTGCCTACACAAAGTTCAAGCTCCTCTGTCTGGTCTAAAAGTGCTAGACAATTGACTGTAAACCTGTTCTAGCAGCCTGATCTACCCATTTCTCCTTTATTCTCCCCACTCAACCATACACACCCAAAGCCTCTTGACGCAAATTCTGGTCATTCCTCAAGTACAGGCAGGCCCCCGGCTATGGCCCAGATACATTCCTTTTATTTTAAGACAAGGTCTCTCTCTGTTGCCTGGGCTAGAGTGCCGTAGCATCAGCCTAGCTCACAGAAACCTCAAACTCCTGGGCTTAAGCAATCCTTCTGCCTTAGCCTCCCAAGTAGCTGGGACTACAGGCATGTGCCACCATTCCTAGCTAATTTTTTTTTTCTATATATTTTTAGTAGTCCAGCTAATGTCTATTTTTTTTTTTTTTTAGTAGAGACGGGGTCTCACTCTTGCTCAGGCTGGTTTCGAACTCCTGACCTTGAGCAATCACGTGAGCCACCTCGCCCGGCCTGAAGTTGGTTTCTAAAAAAAGGTATCTAAAGTTGTTTGTTTGCACAGCCTTTTTCACTTTTTCATCATAAATGGCCTTGTAGCAGCTGAATTTCTCACTAACTGCACGGTAAACCTTTGTAAATTGCTCAATGTTAGGATCTTGCTCCTCAAACTTAGCAAATCCTGCTTCAATGAGACAAAAGACTTCAGCTCATTCTTTCTTGGCTCTACATCTTCTGATTTTTCATATTCTTGTGTTTCTTATCAGCTGCTTCTCTGTCTATGAGACTAGCTGCTAGCATAAATGTGCTGCCCCAACGAACTGCTTATGCTGTGCGGGTTTATTTACATGCTCAGAAGAAACTAGCTCCCCAATTATTAGTTTAATTTTTTAATTATAAATTACTCTTATGGAGAGGCTTGGGAGCCTGTTGGTAAGTATGGAACGCTGTCAATCGAGTCATCCGTAACCCGGGGACTGCCTGCCTGTGTCACTTTCTTCTCAAGCGGCCGTGTCTTTAGCAATGCTGCCTTTATGATCCAATTCTGATATTATCTTTTCTGTGAATTTTGCCTTAACTCCCAAATGGCAAAAGTCTTCACTCCTTTACTCCTTCCTGGGAACTTCGTTTATTAATTTTTATTTTCAAAAAAATGTTACTTGTTTTTGGCCAGGTGTGGTGGCTCATGCCCGTAATCCCAGCTCTTTGGGAGGCTGAGGTAAGAGGATCACTTGAAGCCAGGAGCTCAAGACCAGTCTGGGCAACGTAGCGAGACCCAGGCTCTACAAAAAATAGAAAAATTAGCCAGGTGTGGTGGCTTAAGTTGTAGTCCCTGCTACTTGGGAGGCGGGGACTGGAGGATAGGCTGAGGAGTTTGAGGCTGCAGTGGGCTGTGATCATGCCATTGCACTCCAGCCTGGGCAACAGAGAAAGATCCTGTCTCAAAAAAAAAAGAAGAAGAAGAAGTTACTTGTTTTTGATTTCATAAGTAACAAATAGACACATGCTCACAGGAAAGATTCAAATATTAAAGATAAAGCTAAAGTTCCCCATGATTGTTACTCCCAATTTCCGTCCCCTCCACAGAGGTAAAATGCTGACAGACATTTCTGAGTTGGCATACCTATATGTATCTTGTAGAAAAAGTCTTTTTCCCCCATAAATGCTATCATGCCGTATGTATTGGATTGCAACGATTTTACTTTACATTCTTTAAGAGTTTTCTTTGACTTTATTTTCCAGTCTTTCTATTACATTGTTTTCTT